ATTGTAACTTTCTGGTCTTTATTCCCTTATTAGCTTTTGACTTACAGCTATTCACAGTATCTATTTATTAATTTACACTCTATCTCACTTCTAAAAGGATATGAGGTGGTATTTTATCACATATAGTATTAAAAGACATGGATAATTGAAATCGACAATGAATCCAAAAGCTGTCATGTAGTTGAAAGGGCACTGTACTAGAAGCCGACAGATGTAGAGTCCAAGTCTCGTTCTTTACCCAACTAGTTATTTGACATCAGAGCACACATTTATTTGATTATTCGTAAAATAATGTCAATTGTCCAGAAAACTGCTAATTATGAAATTCTACAGAACTATTTGCAGACCAGCATTTTACAAACGTTGCTGTCAAGGCCACTAAGAATTCTTTTGAGTGAAAGTGGGTTTCTCCACTGTAGGACTTCTAAAAGGCATTAGGATTCTCTGTTGCCTACTCAACAGCCTTCTGCATCCCTTTCTTCCCTGCTAGCATAACCAATCCTATTTGTTTAAAGAGTGAAACTTAATAAATTAGAATAGCATCTGGAATGTCAGTGCTCTATATACATCATTTATTATTTATGATCACGTAGTTGTCGAAATCCCAAAACATGTCAGGAAGTACCAGAGGGTTCCACAAAGAAGTCCTGGAAAATCCCTAAGCTAGGTGATTTTGAAGCCCAAATGCACTCTGTGAATATAATTCTGTGTTGTTTTACATGGTGGTGTTCTACCATGCCTCTTCTTTTAAATAGATTTTTAGGTTAGCAATCTCTAGGTTATACAGTTGAAAGCATTGACCAACTTCAGAAGCATAGAATCTCCAAGTGTTAGTCCAAACTAGCAAATTATTCTACATCAGGACTTAGTCATTTAGCATTACATTAGAAAACCCACTGGAAAATAAATGGTAAGCAACAATTTAAATGAATAAAGTTGGGGTTATATAGATGCCCAACTGATTTAAAACCCCTCTTAAAAATAAAAATATATACCTCATTAGCTTATAGGGTATAAGACTATGAATCCTTTTAGGTCAGTAGAAGATTTCTTCACTTCATCTTTGTAACTCATCATTGCCAGATGAAGTATTAAGAAATTTCGTTACTGTTACCCACTGTAGTATCTAAAAGATGTGCACAAGACTTTATAAACAAGGTCATATTTGAGCTTGAATTTAAAAGGTGGAGCACCTGGGTGACTCAGTCAGTTAAGTATCAGACTCTTTCCTTCAGCCTAGATCATCATGATCTCACGGTTCCTGATAGTGAGCCCCACATTGGGCTCCATGCTGGCAGTGCGGGGAATGTTTGGGATTCCCTCTCTCTGTCCCTCTCTCTCTGTCCCTCCCTCTCTCTCTCTCTCTCTCTCTCTCTCCCTCTCTCAAAATAAAATAATGTTAAATTAAACTTTTAAAAAAGGTAGAAGGGTGCCTGAGTCAGTTAACTGTCCGACTTTAGCTTAGGTTATGATCTCATGGTTTGAGGGTACAAGCCCTGTATTGAGCTCTGTGCTGGCAGCTCAGAGCCTGGAGCCTGCTTTGGATTCTGTGTCTCCCTCTCTCTCTGACCCTCCCCAACTCATGCTCTCTCAAAAATAAATAAACATTAAAAAAATCTTTTAAGGTGGATACAAATTCACCAAATACTAAAAGAGGCAAAGAGGGGATCAAAGTGAAGAGAATAGTACCTACAAAAGCACAGTGGCTTAAAACAAAGGAAATTTGGGGAATGGCTAGTGAGTGGTTCATGGTGCCTGCAGGTTAATGTAACTGTGGAAGAGTGACCAGTAATAAAGTCAAGCAAAGAGGAAGTAGGTAGATCATGAAGAGGCTGTAAATATGAACTCACTGCATATTGTATGCGTAAGTATTTCATCCTGAAAGAAAAAATCAGGAATGGCAAACCTCCGTATGCATATAGGGAATGTTTTTGGTTTTTAACAGAATATTATTGATGAGTATCTTGTGCTGGAAAATGACATAAATATTATACTGAATATTGAACATATTTTTATTTCAGATACAAATAAAACACAAGTCTGTGGTGATTAATATGACCTAATCATAAAATGCCTTGATTCCTATTATTTGTTAAATTGTGTCTCATTAGGAGAGATAAGCCTGTGAGCTGATCATGATTAAATCCCCCATTTTCTTGAATGGGTCTCAAGAATTTAAAAATAAGTGAGAATAAGCCCCACTTCTGCTGTCCCAGTCTGAGCCAATGAGCCCTGTGAGGAGGAGAACCAGCTCCAATGGCCTCTGGGAGGAGAGTGGAGAGTAGAGATGAAGAGCTGGGGCTCTGGAGTTTGGCATTTTATATGTACCTTGTTGTGGTGACTCACTGGAACACAAAGGCTACTCCCGCCCTAACCACTTCCTCCCCCTTTATCTCAACCAGATCTCGGGGTGGGCCTGTGGGACCCATGAGCATGGATTCCGCTGCCTTGGGTATCGCTCCATCCTGGGATGACACCTGCCCCATCCATGACCACACCCCGCCCTGAGAGCAACAAAATTAACACAGAATAGGCAGATCCCCAAGCAGGTTGTGTTGCTTCCTTCTTTAATTTCTCTGACAAACCTGATAAATGGTTTGCTTTGCTTTTAAAAGTTACAGAAATGAAAAGTACTCAATCTGCTGGACCCATGAGGGTAGATAAGGGATGATTTTTTTCATCATTCATCCCTGCCTAAATTCCTCCAGCTGATTCTGATGAACCATCTGCATCAGCCTGCTAATGAGTTTGGACATGGCTCTCCAAGCAATAGGAAGCCATTGGAAGTTGTTAGGCAGGGAGTGTGATCAGGTTTGTGATTTAGAAAGGCAGCTCTAACAGAAGCAGGATTGGAAAAAGCAGGCCTGTATAGAGAGATGCCAGTTTGAGGCCTCTGTGATCATCTGACTGATGATGAAGCTCTAGCCTACTGCAATGGTCATGTACATGAAGGCGGAAGAAAGTGAGGAGGGCAGGAAAGAAAGAGGAAGAACTGGAGATGACATGAGGGCTTTAGAGCCAATGGTTGGAAAGCAATGTTGACCACCGAATAAAGAGATTAGCTAATCTCATCATTTAATCTATAGTACTACGTGAAATGGATTTGAAGCCAAGGAGTTAAATAAGCACTTTCAGGGCTTTGGTTTATACTCACAAAGTAAATCCCAGACAAACTCTATCAATTTTTTCTTTTACAAATAGCACATGAGAGGCAACATAGAAAATTTTACTCCTGACGCCAGAGTCAGAAAGGGTTCGAATCCTTGATTCGCCACCTAATAACTATGTGATTTTGGATAAATCAGTTAAGTACTATGTGCCTGTTTCCTCATCTCTTAAACGAGGGGAATAACAGAACACAGCTAAGGACTGTGGCTGAACTGTATTGTTATGAGCAAAGGATTGAGGATACTTGGTGCACTGCTTTGAGCTCGGCGCCTGGCATGTAGTCCCCATTTAATCAAGATTGTTTCTCTCTCTTATGAAAAAATTCATACTAAAGAAGCAGAAAATTCACTTTCAAAGAAAAAGAAACTCAGTTTACCTTTCTTCCTGATTTCAACATTATATTGCTCCATTGGTTCAACAAAAGAAGCTGAAAATCTTAAGAGAAAGAAACTTTTTTCCCTGAGAAAGCTCCTCAGAGAAAGGTGAAAGCAAATTCCCAAGCACAAGGTCCTTTGGGGTTCAGCCTTTTGAAGACCACACAGTGCTTGCTTCTAAATAGAATATTAAAACAAGCAAGGGCAATTTTCTCCTTTCGTCTTCCCTTATTGCCTAATTTTCCTCCCATGCCATTTGCATAATGGATAAAAAGGCATCCATTATGCAAATGAATGATAGGGCGGTGAGGTTGTGGAAGCCACAAACCTCACTGTGGATGGAGAGAAGCTATCACAAGGCCCTCTGTCATCTGCATTCCAGCACACTGCCTCACTAGCTGGGTTTCCAGAGGATACAGGAGAATCAAAAAGACTATATGTCATTAATTTTCCACTTGGTTTATTATAAAAGCGGCACCACAGATGCTTTCTAGAAAATTAGTACCTAATATGGATGTTCAATATTGTAGTATGTAAAATAAACTTTACAGTAAACATTTTGTTTCAGATGGGAAACCCTAGTACTCTCCTGGACTTACAATTTTAAGCATATACGTTGCTTTGCAAGGAAAAGATTCCCCTTGCAAAATAGAAAAAGGCTGTGTTCTTCTACCTGGAGAATTAACCTATATAACAGGTGCTTGGAGCAGTCTCAAAACATATGCATACATTTAATAGGAATGAAAATTTGTTTTAAGTACCAAAATGTTAGTGGATTTTCAAAAGCTTCATGCTGTGAAACTGACCTAAATTTATCTCTAAGAGTTATCACCAAAAACTGACATTTCTCTTGGAGATGTAAATTCGCTGAAATTGTAGAAGAATGTTTATTTTCCTCCCAATGCCTTCAAATTAAAAATAAAGAATTCTGAACAAAATTACTAGGTGGGTTGTTCTTGCTTGAATAAAGGAGTAGGACAAAATTAAGAAATTAACTTCAAATGTTTCCTCCAAAATTTAAGATACATAATTTGGGGGAAAAAAGAAGGTGGCTGAAAAACAGAAAGTGACCTTCATTTCTAGTCCAAACTCCTTGATAACCCTTAGATTTTGCCAAATGACACTCCTGAGAGACATTTTCTTAAGTGATCCTCATAGGCTACAGAAAAACCTCATCACTTATAGACCAGCCTGTCCTATAGGATACTTTAAGAGCATGCAGTTCAGATTCACCTGCAATTCACAAAAAAAAAAAAAAAAAAAAAAAAAAAAAGCATCCACTTGTCTGAGCATAATAATCAGGTACAAAGAGCTATGTAAAAATAATTTAAAGAAGAGGCAAACCAGAATTTTAAAGAAAGATACTAAGAGGATCAGTCATATTGTAGAAGCAACTCATAATCAGCAAGCTGATGTATTTCAATGAGGTGAAAAACATACTAGTGAAAATGCACATACCTAATCTCAGAGCAGAAGGGGTTACTTCGATCTCCCCACCAATTGGTTTAAATGCAGCCAACTGGGCAGCCACTTCCGTCTCAAAGGCGTCTGGGGTCTGTGGGCCTGCGGGGTTTCCACCAGGGCTCTCAATCTTGTGGAGTGGTTCTTGTTCATCAAACACAGCAATCAGCTACAAACAAATCCAACAACACTAATTACTTGGCATGACACGCATTATCACACAACACTGTATCTCGCTGATTGTGATCTTTATTTGATTTTAAAGAAAATAGCCTCTGAAAACTTCAAACTTGAATGTTACGGCGCCATAACTCTCCACTCAATAATTCTAAAATCACTGTAGCCAGGAATTAATTAATTGTTTGTCGATTCTTGAAATAAAGAACCGATTCTGGCTAACTCTCTTGAAGGGAGGAAATGGCTGCCCCGCCCCCTTGGCACCTTCACCAGTATTCCTAAAAGGACTTCATTTTTAAGACTGTCTCCAGAAATAAAGTTAAAGATGCAGAAGCTGAGGTCTACTTCATAAAAGAGGACAGTCCAGTCTCAAAGAGCTTATATGTTATAAAATCCATAATTACAGCTGTCCTTTTAGACGCAATCACAACAAATCCGTGTGTATATTTCCACACAATGTGTTCATTTTGTATGCATAGAGATCCCCTTTTTATACATCCCTTTAATTCTGTTCCCTTCCTTCATGACACTGTGCTGACTGGTTTAGTCCAAAGAATGCCAACTCCAAAGAGACTAAACATCAGTACTTTTAACCAAATTATTACCATCTTCATCTCAATTTTATTTCACAGGAGAACTATGTTTCTTGTCACTAATATTAAACATTTAGTTGTCCATTTTCAAGTCATTTTTCACAAGGGGAAATATAATAAAATATTCTGATAATTGCCAAAGCACTGCAGTATCAACGGAGGACAGCCCTGTTCAAACTGTATTTTTGGCCACCAGACAGCACCACAATACAAGAACTTCACATGCTTGTCATCAAGTGATGTGGAAAAGGCCAAATGTGTATGCAGTAGGTAGCGAGAGGATGCTATAGTCAACCCAGGAAAGAGAAGTGTGTGCGAATTTGAAATCTACTAGTAAATCCCTAGATATTTTTCATTCACTACATAAAACAAACTTACTTATGATTCAAGTATTTATTTAGGAAAGGCACAGAAAGCCCCATTCACAGGGGAACCTTGTTGGCAATAGTATTAATAACACAAATGCAGGGGTAATCAATCAAAACATCATAAATTCCAAGTTTAGTCTTTCAAAAGAAATGAATACAATTAGGGATATGCAAATGGACTATTCAGAAATAATTTTCATAATTGACTACTCATTTCCAGTATGGAGACTTCTTTAATTGGAAAATCCAACAATCCTCTTACCACAGGAAAGAAATGCTACTCCCAAGGCATTATTTTTAATTCTTGAAATTGAGTACATACATTTTCTATTTTTTAATTGGTAGCACTGATGAACTGATTTGCAAGAAGACTTAAATGGATTAATAACGAAAGATTATTCTAGTATAAAAATAATCAGTAGAACTGTATCTTTCTAATCATCTGGTCAAAGTGAAGAGTTTAAAATTTTAAATCTTGAAAAGGAAAATAAAATCAGTTTTTAAAATGTGCTAGAAGTGTTATTTTCATCACTGTTTTTGTGACATAATTATAATTTCAGTTTTGCATATTGGTGAGTTCTAACACATTTTAGTAACATTTATTCTAATTGCAAATCGGCAAGGCGAGGCGGATTATTATGTGTGTTCTATGACCAATTTTGTGTTAGTGAAGAGTAATACCTTAGTTTTCCCTCTTGCTACATCCTTAACTGCTAGTATATGCAGTATGCCTTAAATATTGGGGGAAAGAGAAAAAAATCGAGTATCAATTTGGAGAATAGACAGTCTTAAAACTGATAACTCATAAGATATGTCGTTATCTATGTTTATTATTAACCTTTCCTCCCTAAGATACTTTACTATTTTCCACACTATTCTATCTGTACAAGTTTTCAGCATATGTAACAACAACAGCACACCTACTTATCAAATAAGAGAACATAACAGTTGGGAGGTTTTGTTTCCCAAAGGGATAGACAAAATAGTAATTAGTGCTAGAATCTAGTCTTTTTCATTTCTAACCCAGGGTTTCAGACCACACTGTGACCATTTTCCAAAAAGAAAGCTGTAAAAAGAGAGGATATCTTGTAAAATATTTGTGGTTTGTCTGTTAGGATGTTTTTTCCTAAAGAATACAATAAAGAATGGAGAAAAAAGACAATACATGACCTGTCACAAAGATGATGATAATAAGAACAGGAGCATTCCCAAATCTCATAGTCTGTCTCCCAGTCCCATAATGGACAGGAATTATCTTCATAGAGTCTACTATGGATGTACGGATGGATGAATGAATGCAATAGTTTCTATTCCTGGAAAGAAGAGGTTCAGTTCCTGAATCTGTGGTCTCCAAACAAAGTCTTTGGCTCCATTGGTGCTGACTGATAAGGAACTCTCTCTCCATGCAGTCTGCATTTCAACATCTACAATATGCACACTTGTTTCAAAACTGAAAATTTCTTTAAATTGTACATTGTAGGTGCTTATTAGTTAGATTACTTGCTTCATCAGAACACTTACATTATCCAGTAACAGAGTTCCCAGCAGATGGTGTTACAGAGATTCGTTAATTAACATAAATCAACATAAATCATGGTTCTAGTTCCTCGACAGAAGGCATGCTGATTTCTGACATGACAGAAGAAGTGGACATTAACAAGAAATTCTATTTCGCTTTTTCTGTTGTTAAGGTTTCACCTAAACTAAACTTCTATGGCATGTGGAAGATTTTTCACTGACATCTTTGGGACTATAGTAACCTAAACATTATGCAAAATGCAAACAGGTAATATTTCATTTGGAGGCCTTTCTCTTCTGCTGCCCTATCCATCTTCTAGCAACCCTTCTGTTCTCCTTCTGTAATGCCAGTATTCTCATGTCACCCAGCGCAACACCGACATTTCCCAAAGACCCCATAATCCAAACTCTTTTCACACAGCCATTATTCCCAATCAAAATGTCTATCCTCACAGATCTCTGTCAATATTTAGACATCTCATCCCCAGATATATACAGGAAGGTTGGTCCACAAATGTGCTATTCATTTTCCCACCCCAAGCAAAAATAAAAATGAACAACAGATTAAAAAAAAAAAAAAAACCTTCTCAGGACTCATTTAACCCTGTAGATACTACCCTATTTCTCAACTTTCCTTAAAAGTAAAATCTGAAATATCTACCTACAGAGCAGTTTCCAATCTCTTACTCCCATTCTTTGCTGAGACTACACTTGTCAGGCTCTTGCCCCTCTACTCCATGGAAACTACTCTTATCAAGGTCAAAACCAATCTTTAGATAGCTAAATCCCAAGCCATTTATCTGGCTTGATTTTAGGACACAGTTCATCATGCCTCTTCCTTATTTTGTTCACTTATCTTCCTGGACATCTTCAACTCTGGAGACCTTCCATTAAATTTCTTTTTTACTAATTCCTCTTCATCTCTAAAAATGGGAAAGAGAACATGTCTAAGGTTTTTTTTTTTTTTTGGGGGGGGGGTGGGCTTCTCATTTGTCTCATGGCATAGATGTAAGCATATGCTGATAAATTCTAAATTTAAATCCCCATCCCAGAGCTTCTTCTTGAACTCTAGACTCATATGGTTGATCACCTACATCCCTCCCTTCATCTCCCATACACCCTACACACATCCAATTTGTGAAAAAAATCTCAAAATATAATCAGAGTTTACCTGTTTCTCACACCTCTACTCTCACCACTTTGGACCCAGCTACCACAATCTCTCCCATGGATTACTGCGATCATTTCCTGTAGAGTCTTGTTTCTACCCATGCTACCTCCCAATCCATTCTCAGTACAGCAGCCAGAATGATCCTACCAAAACACAAGATGGGTCATGTCTCTCCTTTGATCAGCCCCCTTCCCATGTCATAGTGAAGCTCAGGTCCTTGCAGTGGACTGTCTGGTCATGGGCTCCTTGGGACATATCTGACCGCATGTTCTGAGTATGTTCTCCCTTGCTCTCAAGATTCTATCCATCTATAATTTATTCTTTGTCCTTGACTCAGTGTCTTTGTATTTGCTGCTCTCTGTGCCTGAAATAGTCTTCCCCAGACACCTACATGGTTTGTTCCCCTATCCTTCCAATCTTTACTCAAATGCCAACCTTTTTGCTGACCACACAATCTTTTCTTTTAATTTTTTTTTAATTTATTATTTCTAGGAGAGAGAGAAAGAGACAGTGTGAGCAGGGGAGGGTCAGAGAGAGAGGGAGTCACAGACTGAAACAGGCTCCGAGCTGGCAGTCAGCACAGAGCCCGATGCGGGGCTCGAACCCACGAACGTGAGATCATGACCTAAGCGAAAGTCAGACGCTTAACCGACTAAGCCACCCAGGCGCCCCTACTGACCACACAATCTCAAATGCAACATTTCTATCCTCCCTTCTTTTCTCTTTATTGCATTTATCACCTTCTCAGTGTTTAATTTTTTATTTGCCTTATTTATTGCCTGTTTTATCTCACTGTGCTAGAATATAGGCTCCAAGGAAATAGTGATTTTTGTCTTTTTTGTTGTACCCCATTGCCTAAGTTGGTGAGGATACACAATAGGCACTGAACATATGTTTGTTGAAACAAAATGACAAAAATAAGGCAAGAACAGACATGAAAATCTAACAAAGCAATAAGATAAATGACACCTAGATTTTTTCATTTGTTTTTATATAAAACATTCAAATTATTATTTTTTAAGAAGTGAATGCATATAAACAACCTATACATACCCATAAGATCTTCCAAGTGTCATCATCATTATTACTGTGGTTCAGGTTTTGTTATTATGGGGGGGGGGTGAGAGAAATTCCTCATTTTCTATGCAACATGAAGAGAAATTGCTTCTGCCACATCATGCTCCAAAAAGAGAGATTATGTGTGTTCTCTTTCTTTTTCAGGCTCAATTTTAAAGGGAGAACCTGCTTATTTGGTCTTTGAAGGAGGGCTAGTGGTACGCCAGGGGTGGAGAGCATATGGAAAGGGAGCCAGGGTCAGCGGCGTAGCCTGAGATGGTATTCCAGAAGCTCACGATTCAAGTATGCAGCTTACACAAGTTCATATCTTCCATTTCACATTCTATCAGCTTTCTGTGATTGTTTTAATAGGAAATTATTTTCTCTATGCCAGTAAGATTCAGGCACTGCGAGAATGTACAATGTTTATCTCACATGTTTTGTACCTCTGTGTGAGAGGTCAAGGTGGAGTGCAATTCTCAGGAGCACACCCAACTTCTAAATAGGGCTTAGGAAAACATGTTAAAATAAACACACTAATGTAGCATGTAAAATGATATTCGATAATTAGATCTCAGTTGTCCATGCTGATAGTGCTCTCAGTTCAAAGGTTAGGCACTAGCTTTGGTAGGTGCAAGCATCGCCTGGCCACCCCTGAAGGCATATGGAAAGAACATCTGAAATTGGGATTCTTCCAGGAAAAATATCACCCATAAAACTTCATTTTAGAGAATATTTCCATCTTTTTCTCATACTCACCTTGTGCAGGTCAAAATAATGAAAAAGTCAACAACAACAGAAAATTCAAAGATGAAAGGAAATGGAAGAACTTTGGATAATTTACAACATCTGTGAACCCTGAATGATAGACTTGATCAAAAGAGTCATGTGTTCTCTGCAATTTCACACCATCAATATCTCTTCAAGGACTCAGACCTGTTTTTATAATTAAACAGTAGGACTATTATGATCAATATCACTCATAAAGGGGTGTGTGTGCATGCGTGTGTGTGTGTGTGTGTGTGTGTGTGTGTGAGAGAGAGAGAGAGAGAGAGAGAGAGAGAGAGAGAGAGTCAGGTGGAGGCAGAATGTTAGTTCCTTGAAAATATCCTTAACATGCCTAAACACTTTAGCACAGAGCCTGGTACACAATGGAAGGTGAAATGTTAATTCCTTTTCCTACCATAGCTAACATTTTCTGGCTTCCATACTAAATCCCACTTGACTTGTTTATCCATATTCTGCTTTTATTTTGTTGCTTCTCTTTAATCTCTTCATCACAGGATTGACAGAGGAACAGAGAAAGTACCAAGATCAAACACATCAAATAGGTAATTTTTGTTTTTCTCTTTTTTCTTGCTCTTCATTACACAAGAACACACAACCCTTAGGCATGCTTTACCACTCTTCTGCCCAGCAATACATGGGTTGTGCTGTCTGTTTCCACCGCAGCTTGAAGCCATATACCGATGCCTTTAGTTTCTACAGTGACAAGTAAATACTTTGATAATAAATGCCACCAAGTGTATTTATTGCAGAGTCCTTCAATATTCATGATGTGGTTTGCTCTGTTATCAACCTATTCTGTCACTTTTATAGCCTGAGTTTTTATAATCAAATGCTATTCTCTTCAGCCTACATAGAAAATCAAAAAGAATCACCCACATGCCTATAGAACATAATTTATAAAAAGTAAATTTTTTGTATTAGTAATTACACTTAGGAAATGTGGCTCTATTTTAATTACACGTCAAGTACACTCAGTATTACTAAGAAAAGCTTATTTGCCATATTGAGTTCTTTGGGTTAAACTGTTGAATTTAACAACATACTGCTATTTTTACCATTTCATACATATTCTATATTACCAATAACTATCAAGTAAAATTAAAAGACAAAGGGAAAAAACCAGGATCCTACAAAATAAAATTGGAATCATTTGTCTCAAATCTTAATAAACACAATTAAATCTAAGACTGTGAAATTACAGCAATTTCACAAGTACAGGAAAACACATTATCACCTTTGGGAAGAGAGTGAAACACTGCAGAATTTCATTTAAATGTATACATATCTGCTTGTAACTAGATAACAATGGGCTATGTGAGTTAATTTTATGCTGCTTTAAACAAGGGTTTGAAAATAGGTGATCTTCCTTCCTTGGATTTTGACAGCTAGCTAAAAGCATTTAATCCAGATTTTTAAAATTAGCATGCTCACATTTGCATCTTCATCAGATGCAAGCATCAGATCTAGCATCCTCAGAGCAAGTATGTAACAGCTCTGATTCTCAGAAAGTTCAATCGACATTCAGTAAATGAGATAAAACCAATTTTCATTTCCTCTCCAAACTGAAAATCTGTAATAGGGACCTTTACAAACTTTAGAGCTTTAAGCTTCATGTGAAGCTTTCATGTGAAAGAAAATAACATAATTTATTCAACTGTACTAAGAATCCTATTTACTCTTATCACTTTTTAAAAAGACAGCTGCCTACATTGCTGGTAACAACAAAAAATATGCCTATTAAAAAACCATCGATACTTCGGCCAAAACTACCTTTACCTTTAATTATGCAGTAGCTCATTAAGAAGTCAGGTATACAATAAACACATTTATACTGAACTGTACTTTTCCTGTCACTGACTCAAGTTTGAGAGTCTCTTGGGTCTATTTTTGTTACATTCATTCTTCACTTTCCTGAGTAGTAACAACTCACCCTTTATGAAACAACCTTCCCAACAGAAACCCAATATACACAAGGAAAGCCTGAAGACACTTTCCTCTGTGCCCTTGAACATCCATAGCAGAGGTGGGGCAAAGGGCTCCATGGAGATCAGGTGGTAGCTACAAGGTCTAATCCTAAAGGGCCCTGCAGGGCAGCTACAGAAAAAGCGAACAGGTAAAGAAGCAGGAAGAAGGTTCAAGCATACTGAGGTAACACAAAAGTCAGAAATTATAAAAACTCAATATATCTGGCTTTGTCGGGGATAGAATTTCCATGGTCTCTGAATTACACATACTAAAAATAACAGACACACAAGAAAGTGGAAGATCTTTGGGTTAAACTGGTTGAGAAACTCTCAAAAGTGGTGCCAATTCACTGAGTGGCTTTGCTTGCCATTTACTCTGTATATCATGGGACGTTCCTCAATTTTATCCAATCCCAAGGGCTCTAAAGGTCTTGTGAGAGTATATGTTAGTGGAAATGAAGATAATGTTTTAAAATGCAGGGATGCACATACACACAAATGGCTTTTTCTTCAAATTATTCTTCACTAAACCACACACATCTAGCCTGCACTTTTGAGAGAGTATTTTCTGAAGGAAGCATATCTGACTCTAGAAAACATAAAATAACACATGGAAAAATATTTTGTAAATTACAAAGCATACATAACTTTAAATGTTGTAAACATTCACGCAAGTCCTTTTTTATTGACTCAGTTTTGTTTTGGTTTTTGTTTTTTTTTTCTCCTTACCTCCCTACAGCTTCTGTTCTCTACCCTAAACCAAAGCTCTAAACACTCTCAGAAACACCCTTTTGGTACTTTCTTGGCCAAGATCCAGTGCTGCCACAGCCATCCTTAGAAACGTCAACAGATCCTTGAAGGCAGTAACTTACTGGAATCTAAGGCTAATTTCTCTCTGCAGGGATGATTCCATTACAACAAAACGTCTCAGTGCCTCTCCAGGTCCTCACATCTCCACTGCAAAGGCCTCAATTTGTGCCTGGCTTCTAGTCTGGCCTCCTGTTTACTCACAACACGGCTGCTGAAGTGGGTTTTCCATCATACAACCTGGCATAGTCTTACTCCAAGTTAAAATTCCTTATTACATGTATTTTCACAGTTTCCAAAATGTAGTTCAAGGTCTTCTACTGGGTTCTATGGTGTCCCCACAACACTGTCCATGTCTCTATCATTACCAGTCCCACAGCACAACCACCTTGATTTACCTGAACTCTAAGCTACTTGAAACCATGAGCCACAAAACTAAAAAAATGTATTTAACAAATAATTACCCAGCCCTCGGGTACGTGCTAGGCATTGCTCTAAGTGCCCTACATATTCTATTTCATTTTCATAAGAAAACATATGAGAAAAACAGCATGATCCCCATATTACAGATGAGAGCATTCAAGTATAACCTGACCTTGTATTCCCAGCTCTTTGTGGGTACTTGCCACATGGAAGGAAGTGGGGGAAATGATTCACATTCTCTGCTTTACCTGAGAGAAAGGGCAAATGTGGCCATTCGGATGGATGTGGATACCATCTCTCTGTGTCCTTGATTTTCCATCCAATTGGGAGTAAAGGTAACTTCCCTTACCACGCACACTCCATTTGGGAGTAAAGGTAACTTCCCTTACCACATACAAATAGCTTCTGTCATCTTTAAGGCTCAGTGTAAGATTACATTTTACAATTGTTCCAGCTCAGATCCACTTAGTATATTATGATACCAATCCCATTTGTTGGTAGACTGCATTTATGTACCTGACCTTCTTCCAGAGGAGACCTTTTGAAATGATAAAACTAATGTGTGCATTAACATACTTAGCTTTGAAACAAACACAAGCAACCATACTGTGTTCTCCACTACATCTGACTGTTAGAAGAAGACTCCTTATTTGTACTAATGACTGCAATCCAGGGTGTGTTGCTTAATTTTGTGGATTAATGAGTAAGCAATCAAATGTGATTTTAAGTCATGAATATAACACACGTACTATTCATTTATTTTGACAAGTATTTTAATTCATGAGACTTGGCTACAAATAGAACAGTCTATTTGGTAAAAAAAGGCGGGGAGGGACCTTTTTGCTTTTAAGACAACAGCTCTGAGAAAATAAACCTCTGCAGAGAATGATGACAAAGTCACCACCTTCTAAAGACAGATAAAGAACTGAAAGTTTGATAGAAAACACAATGAGATCTTACCAGATCATTACAATGTTCAAAGAGACTGTCTGCTGCGTGCACTTGAGCTGTAGGCACTGTCTTTGGGGGTTGCAAGCCACATAGAGCATTCTAACTAAAATAGGTCAGTGCTGGCCTGTGGCAGATGTCCCCTGGCCTGTCACCTTGGTGGCCTAAGACACAAGTTTCAACAGTTTCACATATCCCTGAGGTAGCCTCACATTCCAGGCTGGAGGTCCCCCAAGGCCAGGCAATGTGGTGAGTGGCCAACAAATACAAGGAAGTTTTCAACTCCCTGAAAATTAGCTGGTGATTAATTGGCACTACATTTCATCAGACTGGTGAGGGAACAGACTCTTTAGCAAAGACACATTTAGCAAATTGGCCTGAGCACCGGCTGATTGACCCCATGACAGGCCCAATGATGTTCTACTTTCTCCAGCATTTCATGACAGCTGAACAAGTGGTGGAGACTCCGCAAAGGTCAGCATGCAGCCTGATTGAGGGATGAGGAAGCACTTCTCTTAAATATTCCATTTAGACTCAGCTCTTCCTTGTCATGGGTGACAAGGCTTTGAAGCCGATATTTGAAAAAATTAACACTGCAATTGCAGGTGGGTTAGCTACTGAACTCCTTCCGTCTGAGTGGTAAAGCTAACCTTTTCCTTTAGCTTCTAATTGCTCTACATCTCCTTAACTAGTGATAATGTGACTAACCCTGCTGGGATGGGTGTTGACTTTGGGAGTATCTAAATGTCAAGATTTGTAATTATGATTGTGGGCATATTAAACTCACATGGAATGGTGCCTCGCTAATTGGGGCCTGAAGGCAAGAAGCCTGGGGTCCTCGCTCCTTGCTCACAATCGCAGGAGGGGTATCACCTCTTCCAGGAGTACTTGCAGTTCAGGCCTTGCCTCTAATTGTACAAAGAGTGTCTTCAGAATCAGTTGCAAATTTGAATGTTTTGCGCAAAAAGCCTTCTTCCTAAAGCATTTAGAACAGGTTCTTCTGATAAGAACTACGATGTGTTTCTAAATTTTAAAAAATGAAACACCCTGAGAATACTTATGGCCAAAAAAATGGAGCACAAGTTTTGAAATTAGGACTGGACCCCAAAACCCAGGTTGCTAAGACCATCAGCAATCTTGGGTTTCAAAAGCCAGTGTTCACACTAATACTCCCAAACCCAGTGGACACTTCTGCACTTTGCTACTCTAGGCTTTTATGTTTCCCAAGTAAAACAACAACAACAACAACAGTGTTTACGCAAGAAGATGTAGGCACCGCAATGTCTCCCAGGGGAAAGAAAACTTCAAACTTCAAAAGGATTTCATTAGTTGTGAAAACACACAACAGAAAGGACTACATATAAGATCATCTAAAATTCCAGAAAACTGTTACCATGTTGGTGTTTTTTGTCCGACCTTCTCTTCTATGGATGTACACATATATCTCAACACTGCTTGAACCATTACTGCATGACACAATTTTCTGATACTTAGGATTTACTGTATGCAGTTTTCTCTAATTTTCAGCTACAAAAAAATGAAGAAAACTCATGCCTGAATAATATTTCCTAACATAATAAGTCATATAAATAATTTAGCCATTCTGCCATTCAGAACACATGAAAATGAAGGCTACCTATGCAAAGTAGTATCATTTTTTCAATCATCACCAACTTTGCAGATAATATTATATTGTCCTGTTTAAAAGTTATTTGATTACTAGTGATGTTGAAAATAAGTCTATAAGCCATTTTTATTTCTTCAGTGGATGGTCTGCTCATACCCTTTCCCCTTCTGTTCCATTTTGCTTGTAGTGTTTATCAGCATGTATTAAAAAAAAATCTTTTTATTTTAAGGATATTGTCTTTTTTTTTTAATCTGTGTAAAATGTTTGACAGTTTACCTTTCATTTTTGTTTATGATGTAAAAACTTTCATTGCATGGTATTCCAGTCATTTAAAACCCTCTATTAAATCTTCAAAGGTCCCTTGTAAATAGGTACTCACCTGGAACCAGTAATACTTTATGATGGGCAAGTAGTAAAACAATGTTGGTTTCATTTAATTTACCACTTTGATAGTCCCATAAGACAGAGCAGGTGGGAAGTGTCTTGATTGATAGGCACTTGGTTTTTAAATCAAACACTCCTATTTCTAAGCAAATGCAGATGGATAAAGCTACCACAATAAAGCAATCACAAATAAGATACTAATATTTCACTGATTTCACAATCCAAGTGTCTAACTCATTATTTTCTGCAGATTCTTTATGCTGAAATTCCACACAGTCAATCCATTATTAAAATGGAAAAAATATGGTCAAATGATTTGTTTCAAAAAACTTGCAAGTAGGTTGAAGACTTTCACATTCCCCTATTTT